TCTTGCTAGCACTGCTGGATATGCAGCAAAGCAAATGATGAGGGTGAATATGAAAGAACCCGAGGAGTTAGAGCCCATGAGAAAGATAGACGAAATCAGGAGATTTTCAAACAAGGAGCTGAGACTCACTAAAGAGTCTATGGGGGCACTGCCGAAATCCAGTGAGTACTGTGGACCGATCAAGAAGAAGTCGTACAGCTACGTATCCGGAATCATAGGGATAGCGTACAACTCTTTCCTGAGTGAAGACATACGCGATTGCTTCTTCGATTACGAGCAGGCAGTGTTGCTAAGATTCTGGACGTCGAGAATTGTAACGATTAAGAGCGCTACCAATCCTCAGACCAAATTGGGACTGGTCTTGGAAGAAGAGGTGACTGCACCTTCCGTACCAAAATCCGACAAAAGAGTGGAGTTTGGGTTGGGATTCTCAGATGAATTACTAAGAACGAGCTTGATGGCAGTGTGGGAATTGATGAGGCCATCATGGTGTACTAGTCCCAACGCTGACTCGATATTACGGGCTACACAAGACGTGCAGAGGGAGCTGAATGCAGACTGCAACCTGCGTGACCTGAACATCATATATAATGTGATGATAACAGCCTCTAGGAGCAACGGGAAGATAAAGTGGAGTTGCCTGGCTGGGGACCAGAAGACTGGGTCAAACTTGGTAGCTGTCTGGCAAAAGTCTGTGGACTGGAGGGTCACGTTTGTGGAAGTCTGGACTGTGTGAAGACCCTAGAGAAACAACACAAGCAATTGACAGTATTGTTTGGGAATGTCGTGATGAAAGCATGAACGGAAACGGAACTGATAGCGGATTGTCATGGAGGAACCGAGGTGAATCTAGTGACTGCACTAGGGTTCTACAGCATATTTAGTTCTTTAGAGTCACTATTGAATCTAGAACAGAAACATGAGATGGTCACAGCCATCAGTGTAGAAGTACTCCCAGGAGTTTTGCAAACCGAGCAGAAACACATAGGAAAATGGAGGGAAGCGATCGAGGCGGAAATGAACATCAGACAAAGTGAGACTTATTGTAGACCATCAGGAGTACGATACTGGTGGGCTCGACATTGGCTCCAATGTGCAAGAGCAGATACCCGGTGCATTTCGTAGCTGTGGATAAGAAGAGTACGAGAACGATCGTGGATCAAGCCTTCTCAGTACCAAAGTGTGTGAGACTAACGAGAATGTCCAAAAAATCTTACGAGTTGCTATGCAAAATGATCTCAGCAGTTCCAGAGAGAACAAAGGAAGAGTTGGAATCGATACTGGGAAGGAAGTTCATGGGATACGTGAGTGGGAACTTCAGTGACTTTGAAAGACAGAAACAGAGAGGATCAACTGTTACATATTACAATACAGTAGACGAGAATGATGAGGTCCACCGAGTAATGATGGAAATGGAACCATTAATGGAAGCTTCGGTAAAACGTAATTGGAGGAGCATCATGTTGACACATGACGAGTTTCCCTGCCACTGCTTGCTGCAGACCTGGTGGTATCCCAAGCGTAGTAATCTGGTGTTGATCTGGGACTCTGCAGAGCTGCTCGCCTTGGGTTTACCAGACTCATCACAGCCCATAACAATAGTGATAGTGGGAGTTATGATGGCGATACGATGGCTGGAAGCTCACGTAAGAGAGAACAATAGACAGGAAGCGCCGACGAGAGAACAGTTGCGGAAATTGGATTGTCTGAAAGATCTAGATCTTTTTGAGACAATGTGCAAGATTCTAAACATTCCGATGGAAGTGAAGAAGATATGGGCAAGGAGACGATTGATGCCATGGTTCAGAGCTAACATGACTGCATGGTTGTACGAATATGCTAAGAAGCATATGTCGAAGCACGGTAGAGTGTACAGTGAATATCAGCTGGACATTGGAGCAGGAGCTTTCAAGCGAGCCTCCGTGACTCATCGGAATGCAGTGACCACCGCTGTAAAGAGAATTTCCAGGGCGAGTGAACGTAGTGGAAAGGAGAATGAAGAGATGTTGAAGGAAGATTTGGAGAGAAACGTGACGTTGTGTCTCCACAACAGCTTCTGCCGAAACAGAGAATCTAACGTGGATCCTCTACCTTGTTGCAAACAGAGGGTAGAAGAGCAGAAGTGTTGGAGGACTGTTTCCAACAGCGTCAGGATAGCTAACGATGTGCTGCAAGACACAGAAACTGAAAGTGCAAAAAGAAAAAAATTTAGAAGAATTTAGAAGTTTTAGAACTTCTAAACGACAAAAAAAGAAAAAAAAACAAAGGAGTGACGAAGAAGAAGAAAATAAAATTCCGAATTGTTTTATTTGTGTGAAAAAACTCAAGTGAGAAACCAAGCAACCAAGTTGTAATTGAAAACTGAAACATTTAGTTGAGCTTTGAACATTGAAGAATTTGTTGCATTTAAAAATTTGCATTTTGATTTTAGTTAGTGGCTTTAGCGACACTTAGTTACTATATATTTAGAAAGGCTTGAGTGAAAGAGTATATTTAAATATTACAGCCTGCATGACTGTTTTTAATCAACTAGGAGAATTGATCACTTTGTGGTGATATGAAAGGCTTGGGTAATCTCTCGAAGAGGGAGATTGTTTCATTGTTTTTTCTAACCACGGAGTTTCTTAGTTTTAATTTTCAGGACAATAACAAGCGAAATTTCCGAAGGGAAGAAGCATAGTAGGATAATTTTAGCTTGTTGGTTGGCAGGACTGTCCTGCAAACCAACACCTTTTAAATCTAGGAGAAAAAGTTTTAATCAGGACATTGACATTGGAAGTCGGAAAAGATGTTTTTATCTTAGGTCATATCCTCATTGTGCAGATTTATGAAAGAATTTGAAGGCTATAGTGATGTAGTATGATGCCATTTATATTCTGCAGTGAGTTGATGTGACGCGGATAAAAGTAATTTCGTGCATTTTGTAAATTCTGTTCGATGACACTGTACCTATTTTACGGACATTGCGAGATTCAATAAGGACATTGAACGGGCTGTCCGGGGAGTATGTGACACTCGACCAGAATGGACCAAAATGCAAATTCAGCAGATTCAGAATTTTAGCAGCGAACCTTCCGAATTGACGGTTTTAAGCGATTAACAATGTTACAGGGACGATTAGTCAAATGGTGAGGGTCAAGATATTCTGGTATTTTGAAATTTTAAAAATTCGAAGTATGACGTCATATTTCTGAGAAACGTCAGAAACGGCCATTTTGGCAGAAAACCGGAAGAAAAACACAACAACATTAGTTGCGATAGCGTTAACAACGGAGATTGTGATTGAGAGACAACAACAAATTGCAGAAAGAGCAGAGACCGCTCCGAGTTGCAACTATTGTGTCGCTACAATAGTTGCAAGGCCGTTGCGAACAACGGTGAAGGGTGGAAAACCAGCCTTCCGGAAGGAGAGTAAGAGCCTTATTTCCCCGGATTCAGGAATCCGGAGGGGTCTCGGGACTGGAACTTTTATTAACTTACATAAACTTTTAGCTTCTCTGTCATGTCTTGAATTGAATTTAATTAACATCTGAATTCATTCTGCTAAGATGAGAAGCTAGGAGTTGGGGGAAAGGGTTGATCCATCTTCGATGGAGATGATGAATTTCATCTACTGAACAAAAACAACAATAATTCAATAAATAGTAGTAGCCCTGATTTTAGGAGTGACCTCGTGGTCTGGGGATACTGAGACCCAGCCATGAGCTCACTATTTCTGCATGTAATTAAGTTAATTTGAGTGTTTTGACCGAAGCCGAAAGCAGTAACGTTTTTTGTCGACCCGATGTTAGAAAGACCACCGAAAGTACTGGCTTGGTAGAGACGGTTAAAAGCATGTAAAGCTCTGTTTAGATGTTGGCCAGTCGTCTTAGGACTTAGTTTTGTTTTCCGTCGATATGTATCTTCCGGGCGAATGTTACAGTAGCTTCACTATCTTTACTATTCGGATAGCTTTTCCGCTAATATCTTCGACTATTATTTCTGTCGTTCGTTATAATTCTTGTGTGTCTCTTCTTTTTCAGCGAAAGTCGTCGTTCTGATATTCGCAGTTTTTCAATTGTCACGAAATCTCAAGATCGTAACGTGTCTTTACAACCGAACGAATTTTTAAAATTTTACGTAGTCTAAACCGACCGCTTCCAATTCGTCCAATTGAACGATTAGCACTACTAGTCGTTCAAAACGGCCAATTTTCCCACTGAACTGTTCCAGATTAAAATTCGTTGCTGCCATGCATTTTAGGCCATTCTGGTCGACTGTCTCACATGGCGAGATGCGTGTCAAAAAAGCTGTCAAACAGTCGGTGTTTGAAAAGATGTTTCAAATTAACAGTTCGTAGACAAGGAATTGGGTCTGCTTTTGAATTCTTTGGTTACTGTTTATGTTTTGGTTTCCTTTTTTTCGGCGAAAAGTTTTTGACTTTTGTTACATCTCGGTCGACTTCAGGGCTGTTCAAAAATCAATTGCAACACTAACAATCAATTAATTCTGTACCAATCAATCATTGCAATGACATGAGATTTTACAATCAATCATTGCCCAACTTTACAATCAATTGCAACTGAAGTATACTATAAAGTAAGTAAGAAATGAAGAAAAACTATTGCTCTGACGCGCAGATTCTCGACACGAGTTTGTCATCCCAAAATTTGTTGTTAAGAGCTTCATCTCCAGGTTTGATGGCATAAGGCTCTGTCGCAAATCACCATGGGCATACTTGGCAGTACTGAAGAACCTCTCCAATATGTTTGAGGTGGGTAGCAGTAACTTAGTGCAGCTGTGCGTGATATCAATGACTGCAGCCTCTACAATCAATCATTGCAATTAACTATAATAAAAAATCAAGTAATTGTTGCCAAAAATCATGCATGATTACAATCGATTGGAATCGCAATTGATTTTTGAACAGCCCTGGTTGCCTTATTTTGCGGCTTTTGTTAGGCGAAAATACATTTATACTTGTCAGGCATGTCTATGTTGTTTTGAAGCAGATGAATTTCAGATCTGAAAATGTCTGAATCAGAAAGTGGATATTCAGGAATCTCAAATGATCAAGCCGCTCTGGATGATATTAATGAATTATCAAATGAAGATCTTCAACAAAAAACGCATGAAGCGTTGTAAGTACCAAAATAGCTAAAAGTTCTAATAATGGGCGATAATTTGGATATGATGCACTTTAACTCTGTAAATTAGACGGATTGATTTTCAACTTGTTGCAATTTTTCCTCGTTAATGTTCTCTCCGAGAGCAAGAATCTTGTGATCAGTTACTAGACTTTTTATGTGATTAACTTTCCTACAAATCTGCAGCAAATAGAACTAAATTACAAAAGAGGCCCTTCGTTTAGTTACGGTAAGCGCACAAGCTGGATAGGGCCATGCTAGAAAGCAATGGATAGGGCCATTAACCTAAAAGCAAACTTATTAAATAGTTTGCTTTCAGGTTAATGTTTCTCCGGAGTAGCCGTGGTTGCTCCGTGTAAATGTATTGACGTTATCATCAATTCAGAACGTCTTCATCTAGAAACCTGCTGATTGCAGACTCTCAAGTAAGGAATCTAATTTTTCCGAATTTCAACATTTTGTCTCTACCTGGAGCTCGGATTGGCAGTGTGATCGACTTCTTGCCGGAAAAGGGTAAATACGATCTAATTGTACTTTTCATTGGTGGTAACGACGCATACGAACGCAACGTACCATCTTCTGTCTCCGAACAGGACATAGCCAACGAGATTTCAAAATTAGCAGACCAATTATCCCTACGCGCCCCAAAAATTTTTATCCTTGGCATTCCACATCGCGGTGAGTACAGAAAGAGAGCATCAGACGTGAACGGATTTCTGAGAACAAAAAAAGGAAACTGGAAATACAGAGGTCTGTGCGAAAAAATATACTGCATATACCATCTTAAAGAAGACGAAGTCCATCTAAACAAAGAGGGTCTAAGAGGTATCCAGAGCATCCTGAAAAACAAGATTTTGTACACAAAATACTCAAACTCGTGCAATAGAGAAGGTCACCTGGCAACATTTGAGTGTCGATTTCGGAATTGCAACTGCACCTATTAAGTAAGTTTTTCTCGTTGAATAGAAACTGAACTGCTGGTCTCCCCTCTCGGGAACCATAGGTTTACATATCTGTTCCCAGCCTCAGAGTAGAAACAGTAATCCGCAGGACTCCCCTTTCGGGAACCATAGGTTTACCTATCTATTCTCCCAGTCGTTCTAATGGTCGATAAAGCGAAAGTTGCTACTCGTTCCCGAGTAACTTCGGCTTCCGATGAAGCCTGCAAAACATGTAAAGGACCAGTGCGTGCACGTGACCCACTTTTCATCTGTATAGCTTGCTCTTGCAAAATTCACCTAACCGAAAAATGTACCAATCTGAGTGCAACAGCAATAGCTGGAATAATTGAATTGAAGACAAATGTAATGCTATTGTGCAATGACTGTGTGGAGCAAAACAAACGCGATGAAATCATTTCTCTCATTGCAAAAATGGAGCTAAGTGAAACCAATCAAAGCAAAATTACGAACATCGAGAAAGAAATGATTGAACTCAAAAATTCTCTTCTCGAAATCAAAACTGCAATGATCGTAAAATCTGATCCACCTAAAACAACGCAAGTAAATCAACCAGCAGCCACCATTCGCAAAACACCTGAAGCAACAATGGTCCCTGAGGGAATACGAGTGCGAGGAATCAAAGAATCAGACGACAGAGATCCTAGAAAGCGACAGGAACACGACCTTGCAGAAATCCAGCAGGTATTTGCCCACATTGAAGTTAACTGCAACATCAATGATTTACTGAGACTTGGACCACGAAACGATACGAAAACCCGAACAATCCTAGTCAAAGTGTCCAATCCTTGGCAGCGCTGGCTTATTCTTTCCCCGGCAAGCAAACTAAAAACGTACGACAAGCCAGTCTATCTCAGTCTTGAGCTATCACGAGAGGAAGCACCACTGGAAAATGAGGCGCTACAAAAACGTCGCGAACTTATTAACGAAGAAATTGACAAAAAGACCTCAGGATCCGCGATGGGAAACTGTTAATACGACAAGACAACAAATGGGTTGTCTATGAGGACCCAAAGGAGGCTAATGATTGACTAAACCACTACACAACTGTTCTTTTATTCAATGTACGAAGCATCCTAGATTACAACAGAAGAGCTGACCTCTCAAATAGTCTACAAGTTAATGATAACTATGATATAGTGTGCTTTACGGAAACCTGGCTCACCGAAAATTTAGACAATGCAGCGCTCTTTCTGCCGAAGTTTGATATACATAGAAGTGACCGTCCCAGTAAAATTGGTAATACTAAGCATGGAGGAGTCCTCATTGGAGTGAAAAAGAATATACCCCACACGAGAATCATGTTTGACTCACCAGACTGTAATCACTATACTTCACTTCAAAATTCCCTTGTTACTCTGCTGCATATATAGCGCACCGTCAAACAGTTCCTACTGCTGGTCAGCAAATAAACTGATGATACTTCTTAACCATATCAGATCAGATATGTGCAACAAGAAAACTCAGTTCGAAATGTGATATTATTAGGAGACATTAATTTTGCACTAACTGACTGGTCTACACTGACATCCAGAGCTGAGAATAAACAGGTGGTATTGGATGCTCTCTGCAGCTTTAACTATGAACAAGTGATTAAAATCGACCATAGAAAATACTTACTGGACGTGATCTTATGCAATAATGGGGATATCCTTTCTGATGTTTGCATTGATAACTTTCTGAAAAGCCACTTCGCCAGCGATCACTTGCCTTACAAGGCAAGGATTCAATTTCAGTCTAACGAATCGTTCCGTCGCGACAGACCACATGAAATTGAATTCGACTTTGCAAAGTTTGCTTATACCAAAGCCGACTGGAGAGCCATAAACGATCAATTAGCTGAGGAGCCTTTCATGCCATACTGCTACAGCAATTTCGATGTTATGACTAGACTGTGGTACCAGTGGATTTATAGTATTCTAATAAAGCACATTCCCTTACAAACTAAACATCGGCTGTCCCTGGCGCCTTGGGTAACCCCCTCAACCTCTAATCTTATTAAAATCCGAGCTACATTAACTAATAATTATACTAAAAAGCCGAGCGAAGCTAACCTCAGGAAGTTGGAAAAATCGCAAACAAACCTGGCCTATGCTCTTCTGATGGATCAGCTAAACCATGAGAGAGAACTTTTCAAAGAAGGGCGTTTTGATGAACTTCAAAAATATCTGCGTAACGTTCGGCGTTCTACTACTGTGCCTAGTGAAATGTATCTTGATGGTGAAAAAGCTCGCTCCGACCGAGATAAAGCTGAATTTTTCAACCGGTATTTCCATTCCGTCTACAGCAACATTCCATATGATTCAAACCTAGACAGTGATAATGCGACCCTCCTCAATCATTTTCATTTTAATATCATCCAAATAGAAGACATTTTAAAAAATCTTAACATAAACAAGTCAAAAGGACCTGATAGAATGGGAAACCTACTCTTTAAACAGCTCTGGAGCTCCATCTCAAAATCGTTAATGTTACTTCTCAATACGATTGCGAACAAGCAGCAATTCCCATCTACTTGGAAAGTAAGTGAAATAGTGCCTATCCACAAGGAAAATAACAAACAGGTAGTCTCCAATTACAGGCCAATCAGTCTTCTAAATGCTACATCGAAGGTATTAGAAAAACTGATGTTTGATAAAATGTACTCGAAGGTGCAAAAACTGCTGCATAACTCACCACATGGTTTCAGAACGAAACGCTCAACCATTACTAACATCATACTCTATCTCCACGAAATCTATCTAATGTACGACAACAAGAATGTAAATAACCATTCATTCCTGTATCTCGATTTTGAAAAGGCGTTGGATAAAGTCAACCACCTGAAACTAATTGAAAAGCTTTTTCATACCGGCTTCAATGGCGCGTGCCTTTGTCTACTGAAAAATTATCTCAGTGATAGATACCAGCAGGTGCGAATCGGGCATTGCATCTCAAAATTACTGCCAATAACAAGTGGGGTTCCGCAGGGATCAATACTTGGCCCACACATGTTTATTTTGTACATAAATGACCTGCCAACGGTGGCCATGTCCAACTGCTTCGGCTATGCTGACGACTATAAAATTGTCTCAGATAACGCAATAACCCTGAATATCGACTCGAATAAAATTTGGAACCTAAGTAAATGCAAAACCCTTCAGTTTAAAGGCAGTATGTCTGTTTGCATGAAAAAACAGAATATACCAGGAACGGATTTTATGAAAGATCTTGGACTTATAGTCAAAAACAACCTGTCTTGGACGGAACACGCTAAAACTAGATCCGCTAAATCGCTAAAAGCTTTCTTCTCTTTAAAAAGAAACCTAGCCAATAGCTCGACCATAAGCACTAAGAAGAATGCATACAGAGGATATGTAGTGCCAATAATCAGCTATGCATCGTCTCTTTGGAAACCATCTAAGTCTGAACTGGCACTCACTGAGAAGGTTCAACATCGAGCAAGTATCTGGATACTAGGCACAAACAAGCTTTCATATAAATCGCGTCTTCAAAGACTTCACTTACCACCACTGTCCTTATATCATGAAATGCATGTAGTTTTACTTTTTGCTAGGATTATCAACTCGAAAACTGACATTGATTGGGAGAAGTATGTATAGATTATTGATACAGGCATAACAAGATCTCACGCAATACCCTTTTATACCAGCAAATGCTTCCAACTGAAAAAATGCGAATCTGATTTTTGGCAACGAGCATGTTCACTTTCAAATATATTTAATAGGCATCTCAACCAAGATGTCATCAAATCAACGCAATGCAAAGAAGAACTGACAACTATCTACTGGCGCTACTTCACTGCGAAATTCAACGAAAACCTCCCCTGCACCTGGAGATTATGCTGCGACTGCACAAACTGCATCAGTACTGCAAAACTGAATTTCTATGAGACTCAGTAAACTGAAAGTGACAGGGAAGCAATTCCCCTGGAACTTATCCTAAATCCTTCATTATTATTATTATACCAGCAATATAAAAATGCATCTGCACTTCCAGGCCCTTCCCACAGAATACAACAGGAAGAAAAACTCT